AAGAGAGGTTTTCAGAAGGAGAGATTTTCAGAGGGCAATAGAGTGAAGCTTTGCACACGTACAACCTGCACTGGAGGAAGTGGTCAGCTCTTCCCATCACCTTTTCCTGTCCAGCATCTGCAGACATCTCTACTCTTACTTCCCACAGGCCACACGTGTTGGAGCTGTCACCAAAGCTCCTGTTGCACACACTAGAAGGGATACCTGGGCCCACACTATCAATTAGTGTTGAAAATCCATGGATATTGGGAAAACAGGACACTGCTTTCAGAAAAGATGTGGTGAAGGACCTGAGAGCTGTTACCTCTTTGGTAATTAGCACAGCAGGTTGACTCTGGTGGCTGGGTTGGTGAGTTGGTCCTTCACAGCCCCTGCAATGTCATGTTCTCTTTGGCTACAAGGTCCCTTCAACCTCTGCAGGTGGATGTTCTGGCTGCACTCTAGTCCCCCCCATCACAGTACCTGATGTGTCTCAGAGCTCATTAGAGCCAAATGCAAGCTCACTTCTTACACCAGATACTCCTCTCTGGTTTAACTTTGCTTCTCCCTGTCTCCTCAGGATCTGTGTCTTTTTTTCTCTCTAATCCAAGAGGAGAGGGTTATGTGTGAACTGGAGATACCACCATCAAATACAGTCCATGAAGTCCTCGCTGGCTTTAGGGCACTGACATGAGTTCTGCATTTCCACAGATAGGTCCTGAAAAAACCTGACAAATATCCAGGGACACCTGGGATGGGCTTATTCAGATGGAGCTTCCTTGGCCAGTGAGGGGGGCATGAGGAAGGAATTAGACTGTGAGCTCTGCCTTGCGCTTTCTCAGTGATACCAGGTAAATCCTTCCTTCTTCAGTGCACAGAGCAGTTAAGAGAAAGGAACTTCTCCGCATGGGTACAGGGGGCAAGCAAATCACCATAGTGGAATTGCTGAGGTCAAGAAGCTAAGGCACTGACGTGGCTGGGGAAGATGGGAGCGTCTCACAGTGTGAGAGTTCCTACAGGAAGAGCATGGGTCTGCAGTCAGTGGCATTGCTGAGCCTGAAGAAACGCCCCTGGAGTCCTTGCTTTAGTCTGGGTCTAGAAGGATCAGGGTCAGGTTCTTAGTGGGGTTCTCTCTGCTGTGTTTTGAGCCTCTTTCTTTATGGTGCTTGGGGCTGGACCCTCTAGTAGGACAGTGTGGTCTGGCTAACACAAGCTTTACGGAATCACCGAGTTGAGGTGCAAAGAAGCTCGTCTCTCCCCTCTCACATCACCATGCTGGGACTGAGACATGAGTACCCTCCTCATAACTGCTGGACTTCATGATCTGTCTGGTCTTCACTGCAGTTTGTTCCTGCCCATTCCCTCCATTTTGTGCTGCTCTGCTCACTTTCTCCTTCTGCTCTGGTTTTGTTGCTCCTGCCATTGCCCCTCTTCTAGCTTGCCTTCACTCTCTTTTTTCTTTAGCAATCTATTGATTTCACCTTTCAACATCGGGATCCCAGTTGATGCCTGACCTTGCTACCCTGCTGCTTATACCCACCCCTTCTGGCTTTTTGTATTCCGAAACATTGGCCTCTTTGCAGTCAGGTCACTGTGTTCATCTACTGTGGTTCTTCCCAAAGTGCTCAGTGCAAAGTTACAGGAGAGCCTCCGCTGCTGAGATGCCTGAGAGCAGGACCTGACCTGCTGTGCCTCGGGATGTCTCTGCCATGCAAGACATCAGTGTTGTTTTTATCCCATGCTGCTGGTCCAGCACTGGTGTGGAACAACATCCCTGCTGTCGCTATTTATACTCTGGGTTTACGTGGAAGGCAGTGTTAGTGTTCTCACAGGAATGACATGACTGCAAACACTGTCACAAATCATTATCTCAGGATATGATGCACAGTTACGCAGCGCTGGCTACTGCGCGCGGTGCCACAGGTAGTGCGTTGCAGCGAGCGAGGTTTGTTTTCCTGAGATAAGAGATGTGTTGTCATAGAGAGATGTTTGAAGTGTCTCACAGCCTCGTGCAGGTGATTAAGGTGCTGTTGACATCAGTGGGACTAAACGTACCCGAATGGCTGTACACTCGAGGTGCAAAAGTGACTATTACTGTCTCACTATTGAAGCTTTTGCAGTGGACAATTAGCTGTACCTGAGGGACTCCTACTGACCAAATCGTTCCCTCAGTGTGACTGACCTTCCACCAGCGTGGGACTCAGCCCTCGGTGCTTTATGGAAATAAACTGGATCCCACACAACAGTGTGATTGAATTGGCAAGGAACTAGCCAGTTGGATCCAAGTGTGACTTTCTCCCCCACCTATAATGTTTTGTTCTGCTGGTGCTGAACAGTCTTTTTTTTTTTCTCTGTTAGACGTTAAAGACGAGGACAAAGAGTGAGCACTGAGGACACACAGTTTGGTGTGTTTAGGGCATAAGAAGACTACACCTTCAGTACTGCTGAACTCATGTTGGTTTAGTCGCATACACTTATGATCTAGGTCTGCTTTTGATAGTGATGTTCATCTCATGTAGTCTGACACTTTCCTGAGCGTCACCTGTGTTACCTTCAGTCCATCTGAGAGTAGCAGCCTCCTCTCTTCCATGTGGCTGGCACCTGACTAGGAATCATTTACTTGTTATGCTGTGACCAAGAACTAACCCAGAGAGCTGCTTTTATTACTATTCCTTCAGGATGAAAACCAAAGAAGGGATTAAATTTGTTCTTATCAACTGAGCTGTATCCTTTGTGGTCAGGGTCGGTGAGTTCAGGTCCTGTCTGTAACGAAGGAACAACCAAGCATAGTCTTACAAGAAACTGCTCACACACTGAAGTATTAGCCTGGTTTTGTCCTTGTGGAGAGCAGAAGGCTCAGGGGTTGGCTCTCAGATAGATCATGTCTGAGGGAGTAAGGCTCCAATTGTTCCAGGGTATATTCACTTCAATTGCCTCTGTTCTCTTTAGTGAATGGAGGTGAACTGTCCACCCAGGAGGTAGGGTGGACCTACCTCCTCTGGTCTCTACCAGTGCCTGTTCAGAGTGGTGTCAGTAGGAGACAGGACAACAGTATCAGGAGACACAAGCTGACCTGGAGTGGAGGTGATCCTAGACTCAGAATGGTAGCAGGATTTAGGTTGGAAGGGACCTCTGGAGGTCACTCTTCCTGCCATCTGCTTAAATCAAGGGCAACTCCAGTGGTAGAGGAGGTTGTGGGGCCTTATCCAGCTGCTTTTGAAGACCTCCAAGGATGAAAATCCCGCAGCCTCTCTGGGTCTCTGTTTCAGTATTTTCCTATCTCACTGTGTCTTTTTTGGTCCTTTATAACCAAGTGGAATTGCCCTTACTATAGTATGTGCCTTTTGTCTTCTTTGCCTTATACCTCCAAGAACAGCCTTGCTCTGTCTCCCTTGCAGCTCCCCATTAGTGGGACCTAAGTCCTCTCTTGGCCTCTCTTTTCAGGTTAAACAAATTCAGCTTCAGGGAGAACTGATATGTACTCTTCCATTTCCATCCCCCCAGTACCTCCAGCTCCACTTCCTCATTTTTGAGTTTCTCTACTGCCTTTCTCTACCTCATCCCACACAACCACTTCCAAGTGTAAACCAGTCCCTGACCTGACCTTGGACATGGCTAAGTACCCATCTTCATATTCACCTCTTTCTGAGCCTGTCTTAGCACAAAAACCCCTGTGCTCTCATGTCCCTGCATGTTACAACCCCTTTACTCTGTATGCACCAGTATGCCCACATATGCATATGACTGGTTGTAGCCTCTATGCCTGCTCCCTCTGTAAACAATAAATAATCAAATAAGGTTTAAAATATTCTTATTGTGTACAGGGTGGTTGTAAACTCATCTAATCCTCTTCTGAAGCCTCTGAGAACTGAGTTTCTTCTGTAGAGCATGTATTATACAGGAACAGTAGTCTGTAGAGGAAACAAGCTGGAAAATGGAAGAGACTCAGGTCCCAAGCTGTTTCTCGTATGAAGACCAGAAATATGGCATTTAAGGAATGCTAGTAGATACAAGCAACACCAGCATCATTCTCATCAATATGTAATGGAATAATTTCTTCTTACATCTTTCTTGATACCCAAGGTGACATCAGGCATATTCCCTTTGCTGAGAGAAAAGAACCTTGAAACTCTTTCCCATTTAAAATGCCACCCTCCCTTATAATCCACACAGGCCACATCCTTCCTCCTTTTCCTATGACTCCAGAGGTAACTTGTTGCTGCGCTAAGAAAATCAGTGCATTTCATGCCATAGTTGTTCCACTGTGTCCATGATGATTCACAGAGTTAAAAATTTCTTTGAGCATGCACTCATTCAAGGGGAAAACACTGGATACAACTGTGACATTTCTTTTTCTTGGGGAGCAGCAGAGACCTCAGTACCATTAAAGAAATCCCTAATGGACAACTAGCTGAAGGTAGGCTACTGCTGTGTTAACCCATGGAAATTGCTTAGTCCTTTTCTTCTGGTTCTTCTTTAAGAATCCCACTCCCACCACTCTGGTGTATTGAGCTTCCTGCATTAAAAACCAAGGATTTAAGGAGTGTGGGAACCTGACTCTTAATCTGATTCAGGCTTAAAGAAGTTTGGCTTCGGCAGCACAGTTTTGGTGTCTCTTTTAGAAAATCACAGTGCTGCAGTCTTAGGGCTCCGGCATGTTCAGTGGTGGCCCTTTCTAAAGGCTTTGTGCTAAGAACAGTTCATCTGCATTGTCACTGCCAGCAAGGAGAAGATGGAAAGATAACATAACCCTGGGGTGAAGTGAATTAGTGGAAGCATATGAAAAGCTAAACAATAGCTAGGCCAGCCTATAAATATGTGCAGCAGACACAAAAAAAAAGAAACTGAGCTTTAAGCCATAGCTTTTATTTTGTTATTTTTGCCCTTTTTTTCCCCCCTGTTTATGGTAGAAATCCAGCTTCTGCTGTTCCACAGTGACTGTGGAAGTGAAAATGCTGAATGCCATTCCAAGTACCGTGTGAAAATAACATTTCCCTCCCCCTCTATTTCTCTCTCCCCAGGGCTCTGGCTGACATCTTAAGGCAGCAGGGACCAATCCCAATAGCACACTGTGAAAGAGAGACTATCTCGGCCATAGATACCTCCCCCAAAGAAAACACCCCAGTCAGGACATCCTCCAAAAACCATTACACCCCCGTGCGCACCTCCAAGAGTAACCCAGGTAAGTGCTGCTTTCCTGCTGTCTCTCTTGAGTGGTTGTACCAGGGCTGTGTTAGAAGTGAGCAGAACATCGTGCTTTACAACAGTGGATTTTGTAAACCTGAAATTTGGATAATAAATGGCTTTCAGAGGCAATGGGATGGAGCAGGGGAGTGCAAGGATCAGTGGTGCTGGTTCTTCAAGGCTTTTGCTGAACAGAGTGGCTCTTCTCTCCAGGCATTTTAAAAATTCAGAATCACTGAGGTATAAATTCACTTTATACAAAAATGCTTGCATCCAGGTTTGAACATTTAGGATTGCCAACAAAACACATGTACTGTAGAGCACAGTCAGGCTATCCGCACACAGCAGCTGAGAAGGAAGAAATCCACATCACTGGGGCCACCTTATTCATTCAGATGAATTACAGGCATGTGCTCAGAGTGTGGGAGGTAACCTAGACAGTATCCCAGGAGCTTAAAGACACTGGCCTGAGGTTCTTCAGGAGCACTGCTCTGGGAATTGGGACACACAATGTTTTCTTCTGGTTTCTGCTAGCAGAGTGAATTTGGTCAATTCATTTGGCCGCTCTTTGCCTCTGTCTCCCCAGTGGCACAAGGATGCAGCCTCTTAGTTCACAATATGCTGATTTTTCTTAATGCTTCACATGTTGAGAATTGTCAAAATGTCTCAATGGCTGCTGACCAACTCTGTTAAGTGGGAGGTGATAGACTTGCCATCACTTGCCACCTCTCAGTTGTGACTGGATGTGTGCCTCATAGGTGTGCCCTCATTCCCTCACAAGCTATTCAGCTTCACAGAGAAGGGTGGCATTTCCTGATCTGGCAATCAGAGGAGGTTTTGCTAATGGTCCCTGCTGGGAAAGCTTCTGAAAGAAGTTGGCAGGAGCTCAGACTGCTCCAGAACCTGCGGGGCTTGATGTGCTCCTCTGTTTGTGGAAGGGGCCCATGAGAGAGGGCAGTGACTGTTTGGTTTCCATTGCCATTAGAAGGGTTTTGCTGCAATGTGCATCACCCTGTGGAGACAAGGCAGTGTGGGGAAGGATTTCTTTGCTCCCCAGTTTTCACTCAGAGGCCATTGAACCCTGTAATTTTGCATGCCAGAGAGTTGTAACTGTGAAATTAAATGTTGGGCTGGAGAACAGTACATGAGATGGCTTGTCTGAAACAGGAAGGTGCTTTTGCATATCTGTTGCTGGCTCTTGAGAACATATGTGATTCTGCCCAGGGTAGAAACACAAGAAATAAGGGTTTGTGGATAGAGGACAGGTATAGGCACCATCAAAGAACAGCTCTGACATAAGCCTTACAATGAGATGAATCCTTTTCTGAAGACACCCTCTGTCTTCCCATTGCCTCTTGTTGGTCTGTTAGGGCAGGTAAATGCTGAGTGAAGATGCAGAAGAAATCCTTTGCTTGCAGCAGGAGATAGCAGTTGGATACTGGGGGTTTGAATTAAGTGCCATGTTTAGGCACTGTCAAGTGTGAGAAGTCAAATGGGGAGGTTTGTGAGGGGAATTGCTGATTGCAGCGTTCTTCTCGGGTGTTGGCAGCTGATGGCTCCAACATTTTAAAGGGACATGGAGCTGATGGCTCCAACATTTTAAAAGGACATTTTAAATACTTACTGCTGCATTAGTGGAGGCACACAAGGACCAGAACGTAGGAATCATGAGTGGGGTGTTCAATGCTCACACTACAAGTGGCAGCACCCAGTAAGGAGTTTACTTGGTGCTTGCTGAGGACTGGGACATGAGATGAGCAAGGCAAAATGGCTGGGAAGGAAAATGCGTCATGCTAAAGATGACGATCTCTTCATTCAGCCTCTGCTTGTCTGTGTGTTTGCTGATACCATGTGAAGGAGAAAAGCCATCACAGTGTGGTCAGGGCTGAAACAGTCAAGCCAGAGGCAAGAGCAGCCCACTGAAAGAAGATGTTCTCAACCCCAGCTACAAAGGAGAGGGACTTTACTTCCAGCAGAGCCCTCCAAAGCCACTGGCAGCTGTAGGGGTAATGGATCACTTCGGCCTCAGGCAGCCAGTTGGACCGAATGTCACAGTTAGCCCTTGCCAAAGCTGGGAAGGGAAAACTTGCTCTTGTACCTTGCCCAAAAGAACTTGTTCCTGGCTCGGTTGTGTCTGTTATTAACATGTCCTCATATATCATGTGAGACAGAAAACTAATCACTTACAAAAGATCATAAGCTCATAAAGCAGCTATACAGTTAATGATATTTTATATTGTTTCAGTTGCAGAATAGGGCAATGCTCCCTTATAACTATTCACTGTTACTCAGCTAATCTTCAGATTATTGCTGTAAGCAGGAAATTGTATAAGCGAACGCTAAAATGTTTTAGGTTGGGAAGGAAGTGAAAGTTGGAAAACAAGAATGGGGTTTAGCATGTTAAGTTAGAATAAAGCTGGTAAGCCCCAGGATGGAAGCAGAAAAGGGGTCACCATCAATACTGGCTTTTTGGGAAGGAGGGGAAGAAATAAGTAGGAAGGAATGAAGGGCGGTTGAGGTGTGTGTATGTGTGCGTGTGGAATAGAGGCAGCAATATATAGTAGCAGGCTCCAGGCAAAGCCATAGTCACTAGTGCTGCACATTGACCACAACTACAGGGTTTTGCTGTGGGATCTGAAAAGCATCAGGTCTGCTGGCTGTGGTTTGTTTCAGGACACCAGCGTATGAGGGGTTGATCGAGCAGAAAGGACTATAGTTGTTGCATACAGGCTGAGATTGAGTTTGGTATTAGTTTTATTTGAAACTTTTGTTTCCAAACTTCAAACGAGAAGGGAGCCCTTCAGTCTTGCTAAATAAGCCATAGCTTTGTCTTTCCATTAGGCTGGTTTGGTGTCAGTGAACAAAGTGATTGTGGGTGACAATGACAAATGGAGGTGGTCTGTGTCTGAAGGAGCAGAGGCCAAACAAAGCAGCATATGCAGGTGCTGCTGAGGCACTCGCTGGGTGGTGCCTGATGTTCCCTGATGAAGAGTCCATGTCCCATGGGCCTTCCTGCAATCACTCAGGCACCCCTTGGGTGGTCACAGCAGGAGATCACAGGATGGGTATGTGCAGCTTCCTCTGGTAACCCACCAAGCCATGGGCACTGCCACTGGCTGTCAAAGAGAGTTCAAGACCAAGGCAAAGTCCTCAGTGTATTTGCCCAGGCACTTCACAGCAGGTAGTTTCAGAACTCTGAACTCTGCAGCGGGACAGGACCTTGGTGTTAGGTTTGGTCTGTACTTCTCTGTTGAGCTTTGAGATAGAAAAACCCAGGTGTAATGAATGCTTAAGGGAAAAAGAGTAGGTCTCTTTATCCTAGACATAGAGACAATTGTCTCTTCAGACAAGGCAGCTGGTTTCAAGAAGGCTTCAGCCTGAGTTTGCAGAGGCCACCTTCCCCAGGTGATGTGGGAGCTGGCTGTTCATCGGAACCCAACTGACTGAAGAGCATCTCTACATTGCCACTTTTGCTTTCCCCTGAGAATCAAGCGCATGCCCTTTTCAGATGCCAGGGGGACAGTTCAGCTCCCCTTCCACCCACCCTCACTTCCACTGTCATTTCTATTCACTGCTTTTATTCAGTGCTGCTGTTTTGGTGGTGGTAGGCTCTTTGCAGATAAGAAAAGCTGGACACTGTGTCTACAGATTGCTTAGGTCAGAGCACACCTCTCCAGCTGTGCACTGACTCATTAGTATGAGCTACAGCACTTGCTGTAGACAGGAATGCTCCTGCTGCCCACACAGACCACTCGTTAGTTCAGTGTTTGCTATTGTAACGGGTAAAATATGATGAATCTGAGATTACAGGAAATCCATCTCATCTCGCTATCTATTGGCATTTTTAATGTCTCTATCGCAGTAGCACATTTAGGGGTGTTGGAAGGAAAACTCCAGCAACATTTCCCCTGTCTTCTCTCCTTGGCCACTTTATCTATCCTGACATCTGATGTGAAGGTCAGTGCCATTCATTTGTTGTTGCGGATGGCCAGCAAACATAGACAAGAACAAGGAGAGATGGGAGAAAGGTCAGTAGTTCCTGTGGGCTTGGAAAATGTCATACATAAACAGCAAGGTGCTCCCACAGAGGAAGGTGCTCCCACAGAGGAAGGTGCTGCATTTGGCCCAAGAGACAGAATTTGAGCCAGAGGCAACCCTCCTGCAATGGCCACAGTCAACTGATGTGTCAGAAAAGATGAGGGCAGTTCCTGTGACAGTGATGCTGATGGTCATTAGCAATAGTGGAAAAATTAAGACTAGATTCTGGGCTCAGAATACCACCCGTGGATATTTGAGGCCTTCTGAAAGTCAGATGCAAGGGGTTGGTTTGCTTTTGCTGAGATGTGGCTAAGCAAAGAACCTGCAAGATTCAACCCCTGATGAAGTTGTCAGGTGGGAAGGAGTTTTACGAGTGCCTTGGTGACAGAGGGACAGCCAGCTCAGGGCTAGCAGGGAGCTGTCCCACTCCTGCTTTCCAAACTGAGACAGAACCACAAAAGACTCCAGGTAAGGACTTGAGGCGTATCTTGGACTGCTCTAAGTCAGTGCTGATGGGACATGAGCCTGGTTTAAGTCAATCCTTATAGGTTAGGGAGGTTGATGTCCCAGCCTCACAGCTGGTACAGATCTGTGATGCTCCAAGACAGCAGATGATTGGAACTGATCCTTGCTTCTTTCAGTCTCATTCTGGCTGTTTTTCATACAATTCACTTTAATAGTATTGCTATCCTGGGAGAGAGGGAACACTCAGGACCATCAGACTGATGTGGGATGCTTATGGGAAGAGAATCTCTCCAAATAAGTTCAGGACAATGATGTTCTTGCTGCCACCGTGCAATGCTTTCAGCAGTGAAGGGTGCCCAGATGTCACCTATTTGAGCATGAGGCAGGTAGGTAAAATCTGTGCCCGGAATTATGCTGCTTCTGACTCCCTGCAGGATCAGGAGGCTGGAAGAGCAATGACAAGACTTTTTTTGTACCTGCTGAAGAAAAGACTCT